GATTCATAGCAACCCTGTATAGGGTTTCCGGGGCTGTAAATCTTTGGATTTACAGCCCCAGAGCTGTAAGGAGCAGAGAGCCTCATCTTTCTCCCTATGAGTGACTGGTAGATTCAAACTGCTGACCTTATGGTTATTAGTCCAGCTCATAATCCTCTATGCTACCCGGGCTCCTAATTCATAGTGATAAATAAGTACTGTGAACTCATGTTAATTCATGCTGATATGTAAAACAGGCTGAGCTTTTAATTCCGTTTCTTATAAATAACCTTATGACTAATTTTTGTTTGGCTCTTGGCCAAGGAAGCCACTTTAACTCTTTTCAGTGAAAAAAAATTAACAGTGAGATTCAGATGGCAGAGAGAGCCTCAGAACAAAAGGGAGATCTCCTAACACCTTACTCTCAGTTATTTTTTCATGAAACTTCTCTGCCCCTGGATTTGCAGGAAACCCACCACTGCTTCAGTATTCACTATTTTGAAGGAGTAGACTTTAGCGAAGACGTCAGCTTGAGGACTAAGGTGTGTGTGTGACCTAAGCCATGGTATTTTCAATAGCCTCATATACATGTGAAGGCTGGACAGTGAATAAGGAAGATTGAGAAGAATTGATGCATTTGAGTTAAGGTATTGGAGGAGAATATTGAAAGTGCCATGGACTGCCAAAAGAACCAACAGATCTTTGTTGGAAGAAGTGCAGCCAGAGTGCTCCTTGGGGGCCAGGATGGCCAGACTTCGTCTCTTATGCTTCAGATATATTGTCAGGAGGGACCAGTCACTGGAGAGGGATATCATGTTTTTTAAAGTGGAGGGTCAGAGAAAAAGAGGAAGACCCCCAGTGAGATGGCATGGCAAAGTGGCAGCATCAATGGGCTCAAGTGTGGCAACAATAGTGAGGTTGGCCCAGGATTGGGCAGTGTTTCATTCTGTTGTGCATAGGTTCGCTATGAGTCAGTACCGACTCGGTGGCCCCTAACAACAACAACAGATTCTAGCTACACTGGAGTATAATGTTAGTGTATTGGGCAAGCATAGAACAACTAGGCCATTTTTCAGAGTGTGGTATTTTGAATGTCATTTTGAGTGTGGTCATTTTGCCTGTCTGAACGTGACTGTGACCACTGTGAAAACTTAACTGCACTGCATCACTGGTGGTGTTGAGTGCTATTGGGTCAGTTCCCACTCACAGTAACCCTGTATAGTGTTTCTGAGGTGCAACTGGTGATTTTGAACCACAGATCTTATGGTTCACAGTCCGGTGCTTATCCTACAGTGCCACGCCCACACTGTGTTACTTAGAGTAATATAATTAAGCATTGCCTGAAGCATCTTATTCACACACACCCCTTCCTTGTCCTTGTTTCTTCATATGCTTATATGTTTTAACCATTGTCAGAATGTTACTGGTTGCCTAGGAGCTCTGGTAACTTAGTGGTTATGAATCGGGCTGTGAACCACAAGGTCAGCAGTTCGAAACTACCAGCTGCTCCATGGGAGAAAGATGAGGCTTTCTGCTCCTGTAAAGATTTACAGCCTCAAACCCTATACAGGGTCGCTATGAGTCAGAACCGACTCCACAGCACATAACAACAACAACAGTTCCACTTGAAACCTGGTTCACGCTTGCTTAATTTCTGAGGAGCAGTAGACCTTTAGACATCTTGGTGTCTGGAGGGTTAATCATGTAACAATCCCATTTGATGTGTTTATCTGGACACTGTGACCACCTTGTGAATTAGCATAAATATTAGAAGGTAAAAGTATAGCCAATCAGCATGTTGTACTAATTTGCTATAGTGTCCAGAGATTTGTCTACCTAATATAGAGGCTTTTCTTTCTTTATCTGGACTCAATTGCTCCAGGGCATTGGACCCGAGTTTTGGGATAACACAATCTGAACTGTTACCTAGATTTTTAACTTCTTCAGGATCCATTCCTGACATTCTTTTAGGGGGAAATCTCTGCATCCGCCTTAAGTACTTAGGTCCTAGGTACTTAGATGTGTTTGGAAATGGCAACCAAAATTGCATTTCCCCAAAATGTCTTGTCTTGGTTATTAATAACTCAGAAGTGCCTGGATGTTTTCCCTGGGTTTATGAATATTTAATAAGAGAAACAATGAATGATCCACACAAGCTTAAAAAAAAATGCTTTCCACTCAATCCACAATAAAAACCTTAAATTAAAAAAAAAAAAGAAAAATACTTTCTCACCTGGCACACCAGGTGACCCTGGGCTACCTGGGGGTCCTTGGATTCCTGGGATTCCTTGAGAATTACAGGGCGGTGTTGAAGCTTTTGGAGACTTGGCATTTGCCATAGCTGATACAACAGACAACACTAAAATCCAAACATCTAGAGAAAAGGATCATTGGATAAAAATTGTCATAAGATGTAAAATGCTGCTGTCTTTTTTGAGGGATTGTGTTCCCAACATTGTCCAAGGAAAGCAACTCTTTACAATTTCAAGAAATAATTAAGAGTTGGTTGTATCAGTTAGTATGTATAAGTAAGTTCTATAGAGATTAGACTTTAACTCCATATAAAACTAGTTAAATAGTGAAGGAAGTTAAGAAATCTTCAGGAGACAATGAGAGGAATGTCTGGAAGGTTAGAGATAGAACAGGCTGAAAAAGGAGGACGTGGTAGGAATAAACCACAAATAGCACCCAAAGGAGTAGAGAGAGCATGGTGACCGAGATAAAGATGGATACAGAGAGAGGTCCAGATGCTATCTGTGGGTGACATTGATGTGGGCATTGATTATGCCAATAAAATATTCATGTTAGTATATATATCAGAGTAATGACACAGAAAATGCATTCTCTAGTCAGATCTTTACAATTTTTTTCAATAACTGACGTTATGCTTTAGTTATGTCATAATATTGACAGCATACACTTTTGTCCACATTGGACCTCCATTTCCATCTCTTTGTCTGCCATATTCGAAGGTAAAAGTATAGCCAACCAGCATGTTGTACTAATTTGCTGTAGTGTCCAGAGAATTGGACAGGTTAACATGGAATCTATCATTTTGCCCATTGATAAGAGGGAAATCGCCTCTCATATTAGTCCGGTGGTATAATGAATTGCAAGTGATAGCAAGAGACAGCAATTTTTAAAGTTCTCTGTATTAGTATCTGGAGTTCAAAGTTTATCACCCAGTATTGATGAACTTACCTACACTTCCCATGGCGACAGCTCTTGCTCGTTCCCTAGGCATCTCCTGACACACAGATGGCACTTTGTGGAATGACTCTGTCTTCACTTTTCCTGGTCTTGTCTCATTTGCTTGTTTTTCAAAGATTTTTGGAGTGTAGTTCAAGAAATCAATTTTTCTTAATATTTAATTTTTTGCTCTTATCCAAGGCCAATGACCTGGTTGGGTTTAACCACAGTGGCTTTTGGCCATTGGTGTTCAAATAGAGGTTCTACTTGCTATTTATTTCTTTTTCTTTTCTTTCCATTTTTATTTTTGGTTATTTTTCCTGCTTTATTTTAGAACCATTGAGTAGTTTTTTGTTTTCTTTTATGATTCAATTTTTATCTACACTATTGATTCATTAAGGGAGCTAAGGTAGCATAGTGGTTACGAGTTGGGCTGTTAACCTCAAGGTCAGCAGTTTGAAACTACCAGCCACTCCATGGGAGAAAGCTGAGGCTTTCTGCTCCTGTAAAGATTTATAGCCTTGGAAACCCCTATATAGGGTTGCTATGAGTCAGAATCGACTCCACAGCACATATCACCACCACCACACTGATTCATTAAGGAGCCCTGATGGCACAGTGGGTTAATTGTTGGGCTGGTAACTACAAGGTTGGTTGTTCAAACCCACCCACTCCAGAGGAGAAAGATGAGGCTGTCCACTCTGTAAGATTTATAGTCTTGGAAACTCAAACGTGTTCTAGAGGGTCACTATGAGTTAGAACCAACTAGATGGCAGTGAAGGCTTGTGTTTATTGGTTCATAATCTATACCTCTTTGTTCTAGCTTTTTTATGTTAACATTGTACATATTCAGTTTTTCACAGTATATTTACAAATATTAAACCACACCACAGTGGATAAAACTTTAAAAGCTCTGAACTCTCTTCCCCTATTTAAAGACATTCTTGCCATATATTTTATAATTTCCTGTGTTTTAAACCTCATTAAAAAAAATGAGAAACCTTTCCACAAATTTTTGACCTTAAAATTGCATTTTTCCCTAAGCTTCCTGGTAAGAGCCAAGCAGTTGTCACCTTGATTTAAGATTTATGCAAAAGAACTAGTTCAACCAACCAGGATTTTGACCAATAGAAGATGCCACTAAGTTGATTTTGACTCATAGCAACCCCATGTGACAGAGTAGAACTGCCCCATAGGGGTTTCTTATGGAGAAGATCTCCAGGACTTTATTCTGCAGTCCTGCTGGTTGGGTTTACATTATCAACATTTCAGTTAGTAACAGTGCGCTTAACTGCTGCTGATGAACTATGAAGTGGTAGATTTGTGATCTTTTAAGATGCTAAGTTTGTGGAAATTTCTTAGAGCAGCAATAGAATCAACTAAAGCTATAAATGTATATTTTTAAATGACACAACTTTTAGAAGAAAGTTTATGAGAAAATTCTTGTGATCTAGGGTGAGGCATTCAAACTGAAACTGAAGAACATGAAAACAAGTCCACTACAGCCAAAATATGACCTTGAATTTATCC